TCACCAGGGAATTCCGCGAAATCATTTATTTTGCTTGTTAAATAATGTCACACATTGATACAAATATTATTTTGAATTGACGCAAAATATTTGATGAGAAGAACATATTACTGTCATGTAGCTCATGTACCTACTGCCGTAGGAAGTAAGCAAGAATTAAATTATAATATAAAATTTAATATGTAATCATTTTCATTCTTTTCACTATCAAATAAATTTAAAGTAATATATGTATTTTAAAATATCTCTTTGATATATCCCGCGCCCTGTGAAATTCCCGTATTTGTCGCCACTGGTGTAAATTGACGGCTACGAATGGGACGGGTCTGGATGTTTGTCCTTGCGCAATTTGTGTTTGTAAACTGCCTCCACGACACAGGAGGGAATCCTAGTGTGGAGGTAATGTTTTAAAAAAAATCCTTATTTTTTTTAAAGAATAAGGATGACAAATATACCTAATTGTAAATGGATGCTGTGGCCCATAGACACTAACATTGTCAACAACTCGGGACCTCAAAATTATCAGTCTCGTTTACGACCATTAGACGACGAAGACCAATAAAAAGAGGTAAGAAGTACCAGGGAGTTTATATGCGAGTATGATGGTCGTCCGAAATACTGCTTTTTGGCAGCCTTCGAGGGAGGACTTTGTTCAGTTTTAGTGAACTTGTCACTGGCTGTTATACTAATGCCATTAAAAACATAACTTGTAAAAAAAAACAAGTCTCGCAACTCAGTTTTTCTACCGTAAAAAGTTGTAAGATCCATTTAATACCAAGTCGGTTAATTTATTCAGTCCCTACTTAAGGGTCCTTCTGTCTTAAGTTATTACGTAATTAGCTAACCTAACAACATCTCATAGTGACCACATCAACACTAAAAATCTTTTATATTTTAAATAAATAGATTGACTTGGAAACTATCCAACTGCAGAGAGGTGTAAGATAGGGTGGCGTTATATCCCCGAAACTCTTAACCGCTGCATTGGAAGATCTTTTCAAGCTACTGGACTGGAAAGGATACGGTATTAACATCAAGTCATCATAAGTACATCACTTATCTTCGTTTTTGCCGACGATATAGTCCTTATGGCAGAATCTCTAGAGAACCTAAGCATTATGCTTTATGACCTCAATAGTGCCCCCCAACGGATAGGTCTTAAGATGAACACGAACAAAACAAAGATCATGTATAACGTCCATGTCACACCTATGCCGGTAGTTGTTGGGAGCACTAAGCTCAAAGTTGTTGACGAGTGTGTTTACCTGGGACCAATAGTCCGACTAGCTAAGTCCAACTTCGACCGAGAGGTCAATCGACATATTCAACTCGGCTGGGCAGCGTTTGGGAAATTATGACACATCTTCCCGTCAATTATACCTCAAAACTTGAAAACGAGACTGTAAAACCAGTGCGTGTTGCCTGTGATGACTTATGGAACTGAGACATAGTCTTTCACTGCTGGTCGTATGAGGAAGCTCAAGGTCGCTTAGTGAGATATGGAAAGGGCAATGCTCGGGGTTTCTCTGCGTGATAAACTTACAAAGGAGGATATCCGCACCAGAGTGACCGACATAGCGCAACGGATTAGTAATTAGAGCTATATGGCCGGCCAATTTCTATTTCAGGGCAATGGGCCGGCCATATAGCTTGAAGAACCGACAACTGATGGGGAAAAAAGGTTATTGAGTGGCAGCCTCGTACCGGTAAGTGAAATGTAAGGCGGCTCCCTCCTAGAGACGTGGAGGAGTGACGACCTGGTAAGACATGGAGGAAGTCGATTGATGCAGATGGCTCAGGACCGTGCTTTGTGACATTTCTTGGGGGAGGCCTATGTTCAGCAGTGGAATTGTTAGGGCTGTAATGATTATGATAATGAATTAGTTAGAATAAGTACCTAAATTTTATCAAATCCAACTCACAATGTCACTAAGCTATTTCACATATCTCATAAACAAAGGTTATATGTACAAACTAAGTTTATTAAGAAGTCTGCATGCATTCATGACATGTTGATTCTAATGTCTGAACCCAACATTAAATAGTCGTTTAATCACTCCGGAACAAAGGCGTTGAAACATTACGCGAAGGTTTTATCTGTGACCCACCTGGCATTCGTTAATTTAAATTATACCTTTCAAATGCAATCTTGTTGAGTTACGTAATTATTTACGGTCAGAATTCAAACTGGTTCTTAGTTTTTATTTCTTATTTTTTTACACATCGTTGCACATCAAACTAGAGTTGCAAACTTATTTATTTTAAAGATACCTACTGTTTTTTTCGAAGCCATAAAAATATACCATAAGGACATTTTTTGTCACTGTGCCGACTCCTTATTTACAGTATTTTAATTCATCCCTAGAATGTGTAAGTAATATTATTTACATAATTATATTAGTATATAATGTATAAGTTATATTATTAAGTTATGACCTTGAAAGATTGGACTATAATTGTGGTTGTCTTTAAATTTCTATTCGCTAGTTATCAATGCACCACGTGCTAATGAGATCAGAAATTGTTACCTATTACATATCTTTAATCAGGCTATTTTTGAAGAAAAATAAAAAAAGGAATTATATTCTTACATTTACGAAGCCGTGTGGGGCGGCGGTGTAAGAGAATCCATTGCCATCTTTTGTCCTGTGGGTATCGTGGGAGGTGCTATGGAAAATTTCAAGATTTTATAAATACCGATAGATGGCGGAATAACCATATCTCTTTACAAACACACACAAACACTCACGCCAGTCACCCAGAGGGGTAAGCAGAGACTACGGACTTACATTTGGCGCGATCCTGACACACTTCTCTCGCCTCCTTTACATCTCACATCTCTACACTAGCCGTAAATACTGGCGATAGGTGCTCTCAAGTACGTCTAAGGTTTGAGACGTTTAGTACTGCGTTCCTCAATATACCTGACAAGCATTACGATCAAAGCAAATTCTTATTTCAACGCTAAAGGCACATGTCCAGTAGTGGGCTTTTACCAGCTGATGTTGAAAAATAAGATCATTAATCTTATTTTGGACTAGACTAGATTGGAATCTTTTTTGAAGTTTAACAATTGAATTTTAGCAATTTTCACATATGGTAATATCATTTACATTCAAATATTTTTATTTTAAATTGAATAACCCATTTTGAAACTCACAAATATGAACTAAGTCAAATTTCAATCACCTACGTGAAATCGTTTCTGAGAAGAAAGTCTGTGGACGCATGGTCCATTAACCAAATTCAATATTTCCATCCATACATTAATCAAGAAGTCTACCATTCACTCAATGTCAAATAGCCACAGATCCGTTTACATCCTGCAGAACTAAGAGAAAGTGCCTTGAAACGCGTAACTGTACTGGTTGGTACATTTGCGCTTAAATCAGAATGCAACGGAGGACGTATGTGCTTGACGGCACAGAAAGTTATGAGGGTGATACTAACACAGCTTAACGTGACATCTAGAGGCATAGCAAAATGGCCCGTATTACGTAAATTAATAGGTACAATAATAATCCGTACAAAACCAATCCTAACTAGAACAGTCATCGGCATTTCCCAAATAATTAATCATTGCAAAAGGTCGTAGTGAAACAAATTGATTTCTATTGGTAATTACATTCTAATGGCATTACTGAAACAAACGACGAGTTAGACAAAAAGCAAGGTTGTTACTATGGCACTGCTGTAGAAAAGCGGATCGATGCGATGTTATTTTCTATTATAACGTAGAGCTCTGGCTTACGAATTTATTTTGTGCCCTATTTGACTGAACGAGCAAGTAAAATATTTCTACATTCAAGGCAAAAGTATTAATTAAAACTATATTACATACACACATAATAAATAATGTTTTTCATTATGTATTGTAAGGCCATAATGAAAAGCATTATTTATTATGCGGTTTTGTTTAATATTTACCATACTACCTAGTGGTAAAAGTATAGGGTTCCCATATCACTGGTCATGCTTCGAACTCCTGCAAAAAAATATATTGTTTATTTTTTAAACTGGTTGTGTATTGTTTGTCCCCCATGTTCTCATCTGCACCCTAGCCAACCTTTAGTCTAAAAGTAATCTATATATTTTTTGATATGGTCTAATAGCATGACAATGTCATATTAATAGTGTAAAAACTTTTGCAACTTCAATATATTCAATAGCCTAATGGCAGTGCGTGGACCGCGAACTCGAAAGGTCGTGAGTTCCAATCCGCCATTCGACTACTGTCGTGAACCACTTCTAACACAAGCATTTTTAGCTTACCAGAAGTGGTTAAAGGGAATATTAGTAATGTTTAATAACATTAATAATATTAAAAAAAAGAATATCCAGCACACATGATAGCTTCTACAATTATTCCGATATTTTAGTTGTTATTGAAATACAAATACAAGGTGCGGTCTTTGTAAGATTATTCGCATATATACAACTGTGCAAACTAATATCAAGCCAAATTAAAAAATAAATATCCGATTATATGCCTTAAACCGACAGAGTAATCACTACCCCATATCATACCGTGATTGTCGTAAGAGGTGACCGAGGGAAATTAAACAGCAGCATCTTCTTAATTACTACTCGAAATCATAAAAATCTGTGGTATCTACATCACGGCAAATATTCTTCTATGCAGCAATCTATGGGGAAGACCTATGTTCAACAGTGGTATTTTAGATGTAATGTAATTAATTAATAAAAGAATGATGATTTATACTAGTTTCCAGGAATGCTTAAATATTAAATAGAAGTCTTGTTGATGAGACTAAATCCTTGATTTACCCTCGTAAACCCACTTTTGTAAGTTACGTCACCATCCATTGCCAACATTGCCATCGTGTGTATATTGATTGACGCATGACATGACGCAATCGTGAACGCGAGCGCAGTTGAGCGCAGTGGAACACTCGACTAGGTAACGGCCGCACGTGTTGCTTATTCTTCTGTGATTTATCTTCGTATCGATATCGGTGACATTACATAATATTATTGATATGGAGCCGGTGAATCTAATGTCTTTGAACTTGACGGAGCTAAAAGAATTCCTTGATTCTTTCGATCACGTGTTTTCTGATTGCGACGGTGAGTTAAAACAATTTGTATCATAATTATCACACACGCACGCTTTTTTCGTTTCGCATTATCATTAATTATTATTATATAGAGTGATAACATCAAGGTTCAACATTGACCGTTGTATTATAGAGATATACAATTCTATGAAATAATTTTATATTATATAAAAGTTATAGTCACTAATTACGGATTAGTAAATGATACAAATAAAGTTTCTTATTAAATTAATACATGTTTTAATTTTTGTGTAGAAATTTATGTAGCCCTTAAAAATAATTAAACGTTATCATTGTTAAAATTGGTATTTTATTTTATACTGGTCTTCTAACAAAAATTGATATTTTATGTTCTCTGAATCACAGATATCGGCTTGTATATATGCCCTATACTAATATATTACTACTAATATACTAGACTTAAAAATTCTTCGAATGACATACAATTATAATAAATCTGCGTCTATGTATGAACGCGACTGTGCCTTGTCCCTGTCTTCTACGCTACGCTGACTCGCTCTTTAGAAAAACCAAAAGTACCTATAATGTGCGATACAGGATTAGACCAACTACTATAGAAGATACAATATGATAGTGGATGACACTGACAACATAATGTCAAGTTTTTTCCTATCTCGGTAAATCACTTGGGCATGATATCACCGGTTGTAAAGCTTTTTCTAACTGATAGTATTCTGCAGATACTTATTCAACTCAGTAGCCAGGATGCTTCATTAGCAATTTCCGAAGTACACGTGGATCAGAGACTGCCTTAATATATGGGCATATTGTTTATCTAAGTTTTAACTCGGGACTTGCTAGCAGATAATTAGGCCTTCCACTTATACTATGAATCCAATAGTAGGCACAAAATATGGTGCTGTATCTAAGTATGTATGTCTATGAGATCTATATTTGTATTGCATTTTAGGTTTAGGAAAGTAATGGTCATAAATGATTTGAACAGAGGATAGGTTAGTGTGATGCCGCGGATTTAAGGATGCGCCAATCACTTATTACAAATATATTCGGACAGTAATACAGAGTTTAAAAATAAATTTAATGTAGCCATTTTGAGTATCTTGTTCTGTCTTTATCGTATGCAAACTCGAAATTCTGAATTCATAATCTGGTGTAGTTTGATTTAACGGTTTGTTACAGTTTCTAGAGAGTCCGAGCATTTCCCACCGCTCTTTAGAAAGGTTGACTACTTTATTTACTGTTTAACATATTTTACATATTTCATTATATTAAAATAACTTATAAGAAGTTTAAAAATGACTCATTTTTTTAGGTGTAATTTGGTCAAAAGTGCCTTTACCAGGTGTGGGCGATTTCTTCGATCGAATAAAACAGTTGGGAAAGACTGTGCATTTTGTATCCAACAACAGTCTTAGATCTCAAAAGAATTATGAAGACTTGTTTGAAGCTGCCAATATTAAAAATGGATTTGTACGCGTACTATTTTAAAGTTTTTATTAGTTTACCCGAACACTACACATTATTCTTTCTTTCTATTGGCTCCATGTTGAACTTTTTAATGTTATTCTAAATTAATTAATCGAAGCGTATTTATATTTCTTCACTTGCAGGAAAACTTGACTGTGCCGTCGATTGCTATTGCGGAATATTTGAAATCAGTTGATTTTAACAAAGCGGTTTATTGCGTGACGTGTCCGGAAACAATTAACATATTAAAATCTTACGGCTTCACATGCAAATATGGAGTGAGTAATATATTTTTATCTTCAATTGGTATATTACAATAATTGTGGATTTAGGAATCATCGTCGTAAACGAGAAGACGTATATAATTTTCCGATGTTGAACTGACGGGGCATCGCCGCTCTTTTAAATAAATTACTTTATAGAATAAGGGTGACAAACGAGCACACACCTGATGGAAAGTGGATGCTGTGAATCATAAACATTTACATAGGTATCTTCAATTATATCTATCGATCTATCTATCTTCACTACTAAGATGGAATGCCTCATTTTCAATAAACAGGGTTTCCCGTTCTCTACACTTACCGTACGAAATACAACACCATTAAGCTGCTAATTTACGCTGGTGTTCAATAAGAGCGTGATTCTTCCCCGATAGATCTGAACCGTTCGTGCTGCAACTATAATGTTTTTTTTATATGAGTGGGGGCAAACGAGTATGCGGCTCACCTGATGGTAAGTGACTACCGCCGCTCATGAACAACTGCAACACCAGGGGAATCGCAGATGCGTTGCCGGCCTTTTAAAAGGAGTAGGCTCTTTTCTTGAAGGTCCCTAATTCGTATTGCTCCGGAAAAATCGCTGGTGGTAATTGATTCCACAAGGAATTTGAGCGTTGAAGAATACTTATTCTAAATTGCACAGAGGTGGATCTTCAATCATCCAGATGGTATGGAAGGTATCGCGAGTTTTGTCGCGATGTGCGATGGTGAATTTGAGCGGCTGCAATTAGTCCGAAAAATTTCTCAGAACACTCCCCGTGATAGATGCGATGATAAATACGCAAAAAGGTGCAACATCTCTATGCAGTGCCAGTGAATCAAACCGATCGAAAAGAACTCGGTCGTCGGAGATTCGAATCGTTCTGCACTGGATGCGGTCAAGTGGAAGGAGCTGGCACTGGGTCCTGCTTAGAGATGGGAACAGTATTCCATGTGAGGCTGAACCTGCGCCTTGTAAACTTGCAGGCGGTGTACCGGCATGAAATACTGTCACGCTCTGCTGAGCACACCAAGCTTTGTAGGGCCAGTTTGGCCTTCTCTTCCTTCGATATGTCGACCCTGAGGATTCCGATACTGGCTGAGACAACAAGGGAAGTGCCTTAAAACTGAGGAGATACGACAAAGGGGTTCTTCTTAGCGGTAAACGCGCAAACTTGTGTCTTCTGGGGATTGAACTTGACTAGATTTAGTCGCTCCCAGTCTGAGACTTTGGTCAACAAAGTCTCTACTTCAGACAAAAGTTTGTTCCGGTACTCGTCGACGTTTTCCCTAGAAATATTGGCAAGGCCGGTGTATAAAGCATGTTTGATAATAGCCCTATCACGAATAAAAAAATAAGAAATGAAATGATTTGTTATGTTTACGCGAACACTGCACATTTAAGTGAAACTAAGTTTTATCAATACAGCCCTTCAGAAGTCCACTGCTGAACATAGGCCTCCCCCAAGGAATGCCACAAAGCACGGTCCTGAATCGCATGCATCCATCGACTTCCTGCATATCTTACCAGGTCGTTACTCCATCTAGGAGGGGGCGCCCTACACTTTGTCCGCCGGTACGAGGCCGCTACTCGAGAACCGTTTTTCCCTATCGGTTGTCGGTTCTTCCAGCTATTGCTCGAAGAAACTAAGTTTAGCGGATATATTAACTTATTTTAAATTCCTGACATTTCGAGTACTTTACAGCACCCATGGTCCCGGGGGACTCGGGTGTTAAAAATAATTTATAAGAATTAAGTTCGTTCGTTCGTTTTTTTTTCGTTTCGTTGTTATCTTTTGGTGTATTAAAGTTCTTCACTCTTTATTCCCTATATTTATATAAATTGAAGCGTCTCTCGGTAATATTATTACGTATTTATTACTAATTTTTTCACAGTGTCCACCAGTAGGGTTCAAAAGATAGAATTTCTTTGTAATCTGTTTGACTATAACGAAATTAAAAAAAAAATCATTAAATATGAAATAATGCAATGAAATATCAATTACAATTGTTCCTATGAAATATTTATACATAGGTAACATTTTGATTAATCTCAGGACCTCCAAGCAATCCTGCATGCGGAATTCAAAAAGGCATGTCCATAATAATCTTGCTTTAATGCTAAGAAATGTAAATTTTAGCTAAATAAGCGCCTGATTATCCGACCATGAATTATAACCTAACTGTAGACATTTTTCAGCCTGAGACCGGAGCAAAATTATATTCAGACTATGTGCAATATTTAGAAGATGATGAAGAAATTGGGGCGGTCGTGTTTGACAGTGACTTCAACGTGAACCTGCCGAAAATGTACAGAGCCATCAATTTTCTTCGAAGACCCGAAGTACTTTATTTTAGCGGAGCGACAGATCGATATGTGCCTTTAAAGCCGGGATGTTTATGTTTAGGTAATTTATTTTTTCAACTTTACTAAATTGTTTTATATAATAAGGGAGACAAACGAGCACACAGCCCACCTGATGGTAAGTGGATACTGAGGCCCATAAATATCTACATGCCTCGTTTCCGATTCTCTACACTCACGATACGAAATGCAGCATTAAGCTGCAATTTTACGAGGGTATATTGTGAGAGCGTGGTCCTTGCCCGCTCTAGCCAACCCATTCGTTCTGCAGCTATCATAGCTGCAGCATGGCTCTTACATGTAGAAAAAATATGTATAATTAAAATGAGGACATACAATAATCTTCATATGCATGCATTACATTTGCCCATCGTCCCACTTTACTCTGAGGGTGTCGTAAGAATCGATTATTATGCCATTTCCTCCAGATTATTATCCTTTCCGCCAAGCGTAGAGTAGCCAGACTGGAAACGGTGAGCAACGTTAAATGTTCGAGAAGTCTGATAATACGTTTTCGTATGGTGAGTGTAGAGAACCGGAGACCCTTTTTACTAAGAGGCATTTCATCTCAGTCCTCAGGGGTGACAACGCATCTGCATTTTGATTCTTAATTGAGGATAAAAGTAGATATCTATGGGACACAGCTTGTACTTACAATCAGGTGGACTGTGTGCTTGTTTTTCACCTAATTTTATAAAATAAAAACTAATATTTTTATTAAAAACGATTGATGAATTAATCGTAAATAAAATTTAGTACATATTTCGCAGGAACGGGCGTGTTTACTGACATCGTGAGCGAAGAGGCAAATCGAGAACCTATTTCACTAGGTAAACCAGGAAAACTATTCGGCGAGTTTGCTATGAAACGTGCAGGTGTTACTGATCCTAGCCGAGTTCTTTTCATTGGCGATATGTGAGTTTCATAAAAAAGATTTTATTTGATAATAACACCACTCAGGTTAAATCTTCATCATTCATCATCATCATTACAGCTCTCCACAAGTCCACTGTTGAACATAGGCCTCCCCCAAGAAATGCCAAAAAGCACGGTCCTGAGCCACCTGCATCCATCGACTCCCTGCATGTCTTACCAGATCGTCACTCCATCTAGTGGGGAGCCGCCCTACATTTCGCCTACTGGTACGAGGCCACCACTCGAGGACCTGTCTACCCAATCGGTTGTAGGTTCTTCGAGTTATATGGCTGGCCCATTGCCACTTTAGCTTACTAATCCGTTGGGCTATATCGGTAAATCTGATTCCACTGGGAATATCCTCATTTCTAAGTTTATCACGCAGAAAAACCCAAAGAATAGCCCTCCATAGCTCGCTAAACAGCCTTGAGCTTCTTCATACGACAAGCAGTGAATGACCACGTCTCAGATCCATAAGATATCATTTGCAACATGCACAGGTTGTATAATCTTGTTTTCAAGTTTTGAGGTATATTCCGAATAAGAACGCTGCCCAGTGAAGTTGTATCCGTGGATTGACCTCACGGTAACAACTATGTTTTCATCAACAACTTCGAGTTTAGTGCTACCCTACATTTTCGGTCATAGTTACGATAATATAGACGTTACACATGATTAGCCAAAGTTTGCTCTTTCTTATTTTCGTGCACACACTATCACTATCACTACAGCCTATCACAAGTCCATTACTGAACATTGGGCTTCCCCATGAATTGGCACATAGTGCGGTCTATTTTTGGACATTAATGCTTGGTTACTTTATCCAGCCACCAAATTTCACGAACGCACATCACGTCAAGATTCACGATACCGTTCTCACCATCTGGATGCTTGGCAGTCCACCACTGTGCATTATACTAGGAGTTTTCTACCTCGTACAACTTCTCTGTGGAATTTTTTACCACCGGATATTTTTCCGGACCGACACGACTTAGGAAATTTCAAGAAAAGAGCTTACTCCTTTCGAAAAGACCGGCAACGCACCTGCAATCCCCCTGGTGTTGCGGTTGTTCATGGGCGGCGGTAGTCACTTACTATCAGGTGAGCCGCATGCACGTTTACCCCTCTTCTATAATATAAAAAAAATACTAGTAATGATATTAAATATTAGTAATATTCCCTTAAACCACTTCTGGTAATCTTAAAATGCTTGTGTTAGAAGTGGTTCACGACAGTAGTCGAATGGCGGATTCGACCCACGACCTTACGAGTTCGCGGTCCGCGCCCTGCCATTAGGCTACTGACGCTTCCAAAATCATTACTTTTTCCACACAATCCGTTCCACGATACGGAAAGTGTTAGAAAAGTATTGTTAAAGTGTTGTTTTGTGTAAATAATTTAGTAAAAGAAAACACTGTTCGGAAAATTTACAACGGCTTAGTTTAATTTTGCGAACTAGCAGTATGTGTAACTAAAACGTTTTTACATGCACTATGTAAGTAATAAAATGGAACGAAACGGAGAACAAGACGTTTTTTTATTATGTACGAACAGCTATGCAGGTCTAGAGGGACCAGTATCACTGCGACCTAAAAGATCTATTGTGATCGCTGCTATGTCTACAGTTCACTGCTAAGCCCTACGTCTTCAATGAATAGAAGGAGTTGCTTAGCTGTGAGTAATTTCACTTCTTCTGGGCGAAGTACATAGTTTCTCAGATGAGTGATGCCTTTGCGCATTAAGGGTCCTCAATATGTCAGGATGTGTAAAGGCGTTTCCTCCTCTAGGGAGCAAAACCAGCACATCCTTGAGTTGCTTAGTCCCCGGATGGACATGTGTTTTTTAAGACAACAATGGCCAGTCAGGGCTCTTACCAGAATGCGCAATTAGATGTTAATCTAGTCCTACTGACAATGTAAAATATGTAAGAATTAGGAGTAGACTAACCCCCGCCCAGAACGAGACGTTTCTTTGAATAAAATAGTCGGGCATTAATCATCGTTATCATCATCATATCATATCAGTCATATTGCTACAAGGGCCTCCCCTAAGTAATAACTAAAGAAACATGGTTCTAATCCACCTGCATTCATCGTGCAATGTTAATTAGTTGTTTTTCTGCTTTATTTTTTTTTTTTGGTTTACACTGGACCTCGGCTAAATCATATCACATTTTTTTTATAGGATAGGGTAACAAACGAGCACACAGTCCACCTGATGGTAAGTGGTTACTGTGACCCATAGACATCTACATCTATCCTCAATAAAGACAGATGCAGATGCGTTGTCACCCGTGAGGACTTAGATGGAATGCCTCTTTGGCCAATACCAATAACATAGCTGCAGCATGGCTCTACCACGTAGACAATACGATAAGCAAACTTTTCAAAAAATTGGAAACCTAAGACAGCTGTACGCGTGAGCGGGAGTAGTGAAACGAGGGAGTTAGCGAACATTTTTAAAGGAAACTTTAAAGTTGAATCGATGATGCAGCGAAGAGCAGAAGTGAGGACGGGCAATGGTGGGATGGTTTTGACTGGTGAGCTTGTCCGTATTGCAACTTCTTAGTTAAACCTTAACCTAAGATCCTTCTTAGGTTGGTCCTGAAGAAGATTACAAGAGGTAAAACACCAGAGTATGATGGCCTCAGTGTCGAGCACCTTCACAATTCAGGGCCGCATCTCCAAAGGGTCCTAGCAATGTTGTATACTTTTTGTATAAGGCACTCTTATTTACCTGCCGAAATTATGAGAACTATTGTTGTGCCTATAGTGAAAAACAAGACTGGGGATATATCGAACAAGGCTAATTACACACCTATATCCTTGGCAACTGTATTTTCAAAGATGCTTGACGGTTAGCTGGAGCGACGATTTAATAACTGTATACATCTAAACGATGCTCAATTTGGTTTTAGATCAGGCCTATCGACAGAGAGTGCTATAATGTCGCTGAAGCATAATGTCAAATATTACACCCAGAGACAAACGTAAACGCCAGTGTATGCTACATTTCTGAATCTCTCCAAGCCTTTTGACCTGGTAAAGGATGACATACTATGGACAAAACTGCTTGAAATATCCGATCCAGCCGGACCTATCACCACTTTCAAATATTGGTACGATCATTTAGTTAACCAGATCAGATAGTCTGACGCGCTATCAGACAAATATGTGTTTGAATGCGGGGTGAGGCAAGAGGGGTTGTCTAAAGAAGGGTATGTTAGTATATAATGTTCTGTTGACGGTCATATGATTTATAATATGTAGTATGCCGTAATAAGTTATGCCGATGACATGGTGTTGCTGAGTCCATCGGTCAGTACCTTGCGTAGACTTTTAGCTGTAAGTGAAACATACGCTGCTGAACATGGACTCCTCTATGACACCAAGAAAAGTGAGTTAGTGGTGTTTCGTGTTAATAGTAAGAAGCCCTTGATTGTTCCGCCATTTAAGCTCCTTGGTATGTAATTAAATATAGTTTGTCAGTTTAAATATTTAGGACACTCTGCTATAGAAAATCTGACAGACATCAATAATATATAGAGAGAGAGAGAGAGAGAGAGAGCGACGCGCCAATGTGCGTCCGATGCAATATGCTTACCCGCAGGTTTGCTAGGTGTACAAATGATGTCAAAATTACCCTTTTCAAGGCATACTGTCAAACATTTTACACCTGCAGCCTGTGTTGTAACTATACGCAGAGGACTTACAATACGCTTTTTTGAATTCAATATCATAATGCCTTGAGTATACTAATGGACCTTTCTAGATAATGAAGTGCTTCAAACATGCTTGCTAAAGCAGGTGTTGATAATTTTTACAGCATCATAAAGAAGAAAACTGCATCAATGTAATGCAAACTACGGAAGAGCTCAAATGTGTCTTAAGGATATTTCAAGATAGACTTGATTGTCCCATTCAGAGGCATTGGACCTAATCCATGTGGGTCGGACATTCAAGTTTTTTAACTGATCGCTCTGTTCCTATCGATATAATTTATTTATCCTTATTTTTTATTATAATTATATTTTTTTACTAACTCAATTTATGTCAATTACTAACAAATGTATATGAATAGAAGGTGCTAGAATCACCGCGGTTGCCAGCTAAGACGACTCGATCTGGCAACATATAACGCACGCACCCTGAGGACTGGCGAGAAGATCCTGGAGCCTAACGAAGTTTGAGAAGTTGCGCTGGAATATTATAGGATTATCCGACTAAGGAGAGGGGAAGGAGATGGTAATTCTTGAATCCGGCAACTTGTTCTATCACCGGAAGGGCGAACATCTGTCCCAAGGAGGTGTCGGATTTAACGTCCACAAGTCTTTTGGGAACAACGTGTAAAGATTGAAAGCGTGTCGACGAGGGTTGCGTACCTTATACTCAGAATCACCAAACGGTATTCGCTGAAGGTCATACAGGTTTACGCAGCAACCTCGGCACATCCCGAAGAAGAGGTTGAAGAAATGTATGTGTATATATCTAGAGCCACACATTCCTCCAAATCCTACTATACGATGTTCATAGGAGACTTCAAAAAATTAGGTACAAAAGAGAACGGTGAGCTCAATGTACAGAAATTTCGAATAGGGCAACGGAACTCAAGGGGTCAGCAGCTGGCTGTCTTTATGGAGAAAGAGGAACTCTTTATGATGAACTCGTTCTTCCAGAAGCGGCCCCACAGCAAGTGCACATGGTCGAGCCCCGGAGGTTCGACAAAAAATGAGGTTGACTTCATTATGACGACCAAACGATTACTGATGTCTCAGTAATCGTGAAAACTGGTAGCGATCACCAAATGGTTAGAGGCACACTGAACCTAAATGTTAAGTTGGAGAAGTATCGTCTAATAAAGTCAACGCCCCGTCCCCCTCGTACTCTAATCCAACGTCCCAAAATCTTTCAGTTTGAACTAAAAAACCATTTTCAATGCCAAGAAGATTGCAATTCAGTTGACAATATGAACGACAAGCTCATGGAAAGTGTACACGCGGTTGGAGCTAAGTTCTGTAAGACCCATCACAGAAGAACACAAAAACTCTCCGATCACACTCTTAATCTCATGGCTGTTAGACGAGAATTGAAGCTGCAGTCTTCAGTAGATTTGACAGCGTACGGGCAACTGAACAGACATATCTTCAAATGCATGCGGCGGGACTTGCGCAACTTCAATACAGCTCGTATTGAAAGAGTGATCGAGCGGAACCAGGGCTCCAAAGTCTTTGCTCTAGATCTGTCTGCCAGAAAGAGCAAACTGCCGAAGCTGAAGACGGAGTGTGGCAGCGTTGTTTCCAGGACACCTGAGTGAGATTGAGAGGTTCAATGGGCAGCTGTAAACATCAAAGTTGCAGCCATACACAAGTGTGTGTAACGATTCAAGAGCAAGTCTTATCCGACACTATCCCGATGATATTCCGGACGTCATTCCGAGCGAGATTTGAATGACTCTCCAGCATCTTAAAAACGGCTATGCTCCAAGCGAGGATAGAATTACAGCGGATCTTCTGAAAGCGTGTGAAAAGCGGTACTTTAAGTCTTTCAGAAGCTCGATAATTTTGTCTTCAATGGTACCACTACACTGGAGGCGTGGAGGAGAAGTGCAGTGGTCTTGTTCTTCAAGAAAGGCGACAACGCTCTTTTTAGATCGATTTCCTTTCTTAACCGCGTCTACGTGCTGTTTTCGAGAGTCGTTACAAATCGTCTCGCATGCAGAGTCGACGACTTACAGCTTCCCGAAAAAGCCAATGTCCGAAAAGGCTTTAGTATCATAGACCATATGCAAACCTTACGGAAAATTGTACAGTAGTCCGAGAAATACAATTTTCCACTATGTCTGGCATCTGTGGACTAAGAGAAAGCCTTTGATTCCGTCGAAATTTGGGCGGTGCTGCGGTCCCTTCAGAGGTGCCAAGTTGACTATCGGCATATCGAACTAGTGAAGTGTTTGTACAGTAGGGCTATGATGGCTATCCGAGTACAGAACCTTATCCAACTGCAGAGAGGTGTAAGACAGGGTGACGTTATATTCCCGAAACTCTTCACACCGCTGTATTAGAAGGCATTTTCAAGAAAGGATACGGTATTTACATTAACGGCGAGTACACCACTCACCTGCGATTTGCCGACGAGTCTTTATGGCAGAATCATTGGAGGACCTAAATACTGTGCTCAATGACCTCAATAGTGCCTGTCTATGGATATATCTTAAGAGGAACGTGGACAATACAAAGATCATGTATAACGTCCATGTTACACCTATGCCGGTAGTTGTTGGGAGCAATAAGCTCGAATTTGTTGATGAGTATGTTTACCTGGGACAAATAGTCTGACTAGGGAAGTCCAATTTCGACCGAGAGGTCAATCGACGGATTCAAATCGGCTGGGCAGCGTTCGGGAAATTACGGCACATCTTCTCGTCAGGTATACCTCAAAACTCGAAAACAGGTACAACAAGTTCGTGTTGCAAGTGATGACTTATGGATCTGAGACGCGGTCCTTCACTGCTCACAGTATGAGGAATCTCAAGGTCGCTCAGCGAGCTATGGAGAGGACTTATGCTTGGGGTTTATCTACGCGATTAATTTAAAAATGAGGATATCCTCAGTAAAACCAGAGTGACCGACATAGCCCAACTGATTAGTAAGCTAAAGTGGCGATGGGCCGGCCACATAGCTCGATTAACCGACGACCGATTGGGGAAAAAGGATCTCGTGTTGCGGCCTCCTATCGGCGGACGTAATGACGACTTTGTCCGCTTCGCGAGACTTGTATAGGGCTGAAATGTGACCGAGGACATAGACTACCAGCCGAAAATAGCTGATTAATGTTGCTGCTGAGTTTCGTATGACGGGTGTAGGAGTCTAGGTAACAGGATGCCCTTTTTACTGGAAATAAGCCATTTAGTCATCAGGGGTGACAACGCATTCTGCATTTTGATTTTTGATCGAGTATGGATGAAGATGTCTATGGGCCGCAGCATCCACTTACCATCATGTGGACCCTTTTTCTAAAAAAATATTCACAATTTAATATAATGTAGTTATGTGTCAAAACAATTATTAGAAAAACACGATAGGTGCTCTGTCGTGGTTATGTAATAAAATAATTTAAAATTAAAAATTTTGTATAAATGACTTCAATATAAATTTTTAAGAATAACTCCGAAACTATTGGCCAGACTTTGTAAAATTATGTTATGATATATGGGATTACATGGGAAGCACCAGCTTTCAAATAAAAAAATAATCATCGAAATCGGTTCACACAGTAAGAATTTATGAGGTAACACACAAAAATAAACGAATCGAGTACCGTCTCCTGTTTGAAGTCGGTAGAAAAATCTGGAGTGAATACGACTTGAAACTCGTCGCGGTACCCACCAAAATAATATCACAAATAAAGGGCGGAATAACGTGTGCCGAGCCAGCTAGTATTATATATGAAATGTGATAACACACCTTGTCCGCTCTATGTAAATGTTTCTTGCAACTATAAAGATTCTGTAAAAAAGCTCCAATATCACACAATATAGATTCTCAACTTAGGTACGTTTTCTTTTTAATTTTCAGGATTGAACAAGATGTTGGACTGGGTAGAGCAACTGGTTTCAAAACTCTTTTGGTACTCACAAACAATACGCGTGAAAATATGATGGCACATCCTCATTTGAAACCGGATTATTACGCGGATTCTTTAGGTAGTTTAGTTCCAGTTATAAATAATGTATGAGACTTTTGTGCTGTTAATTGCGTTATTGGGGCTTAATAAATAAAGTTGATTAGACGCTATTTGCCTGAAACTGCTTCTCAAGATGCTTACCTATGCTTTGGTTTTTTTTTTAACTATAATCAACTTGTATCCTCTAAAAATATTTTTCTTCGTAATAAGATCATAAATGTTCACTACTCGACATGGATACCAAAGATTGTATTGAGTATTTGCCATAATGATTACAATTTTTATCAACACAGTGATATATTTAAAGTTAGTTAAATTTACAGCTTATATACGTCCCACTGATGGGCACAGGCCTCCCCTGATTTCTGAGTAGGTTTTAGGGCAGGAAAATGTCCACCGCGCTGCCCCAATGCGTGTTAGCGAATTTCACATGTCTTCATTCAGACAGATATGTAGCAAATGCAAATGGCATTCCTGACTATGAAGTTATTGGCCATGGTTTGGCTTGATTCCCTTAATACCTAGCATCGTATGATTGCCTTTGCTTTTTTGGAATCTCTATTATAAGAACGAAAATAAAAGACTTACTTTTGATGTATAACGTAAATTATGTCAAGAGGAAAAACAAGTTTGCATAGAATTGTATTGTATAAAATTTATATGTTTTTGAAAGAAATTGTTATTACTACAGTTTGTATTGTATGTTTTGAAATTGTTATAATAAACGATACTCGCTTATTATATCGTGTTTTTATTCCTATAAAGGTAATTTCTATTTGTTTTATTAAGACAAAATAGGAGATGAGTGGCAGCATCTTCCTAAAAACAACTCAAAATAATAAAAAAACTGCGATTGCTAAATGACCTGTTAAACTTAGCAACTGTTGCAAATGTTTCCTCTATGAGATAATCTATGCAGAAAACCCGCGATCACCAGTGGAGTTTAATAGGCTGTAATGATAATGCTTTTTTACCACTAGTCGTTCTTTTTTGGTTTAATCATATAATAATTTTGTAAATAATGAATATACTTAATACAGAGAGGGCCAAGGGCGTTTTAGGCTAATTATTTGTAGAAGATATTCTTATCCCGGTAATATATGTATTATATGATCTCGGTAATTTTATACCTGTTGATCTATCCTAAAACATAAAGTTTTTGATAAAGTAATTTAAAATCAGTTATTGATCTGATATTGTTATTGTTAAACAAGTTATTTCAGAACAGTAAATATGGTTTTTCTGAAGGTACTCAAACACGTATTAGTTGAATCTTGGGATGGTAAACAAGACACTACAGGTGTTATTTGTGACTTACTAAAGGCGTTCGGCTGCGTAAACCAGTGGCTGTATCAATACATTATTAAACAAATTATAAATCATTATGGTATCTCAATGAACTCAGGTAACCTTAATAAATTATACCTTTCCGATCGGTTGCAAAAAATAGTTATAAACGGAACTGTGTCTTCTGGGGTAACTTTAATTATTCTTATGCCCCAAGGATCAATATTGAGACCACTTTTCTCTTTTTGTCATTGTCATTTCTGTTTTATAAATTATCTGAATTTTCTTTAGTATAAATAGGATATTATTAATGTGTAACAGTTTTGGCAGTTCAAAGTTCATCATTTCATCATCATCATCATCATCATTACAGCCCTTCACAAGTCCACTGCTGAACATAGGCCTCCCCCAAAAAATGCCACAAAGCACGGTCCTGAGCCACCTGCATCCATCGACTTCCTGCATGTCTTACCAGGTCGTCACTCCATCTCGTGGGGGGACGCCCTACACTTCGCCTACCGGTACGAGGCTGCCACTCGAGAACCTTTCTTCCCCATCGGTTGTCGGTTCTTCGAGCTATATGGCCGGCCCACTGCCACTTCAGCTTACTAATCCGTTGGGCTATGTCGGTTACTCTGGTTCTACTGCGGATATCCTCATTCCTAAGTTTATCACGCAGAGAAACTCCGAGCATAGCCCTCTCCATAGCTCGCTGAGCGACCTTGAGCTTCCTCATACGGCCAGCAGTGAAGGACCACGTCTCAGTTCCATAAGTCATCACGCACTGGTTGTACAATTTCGTTTTCAGGTTTTGAGGTATGTCTGACGAGAAGATGTGTCGTAGCTTCCCGAACGCTGCCCAGCCGAGTTGAATCCGTCGATTGACCTCTCGGTCGAAGTTGGACTTACCTAGTCGGACTATTTGTCCCAGGTAAACATACTCGTCAACAACTTCGAGCTTAGTGTTCCCAACAACTACCGGCATAGGTGTGACATGGACATTGAACATGATCTTTGTTTTGTCCATGTTCATCTTAAGACCTACTCAAAGTTCATACCGGTTAATATTACAACCTAGTAATATTAACCAGTATGTTGTATATATACTTATGTATGTATATTATCAATTACTTTTTGGAATTGCAATGAAACTTTAGGATAAGCGTAGGTAAATTGTATTTATTTTTAACCGATTTCAAAAAGGAAGAGGTACTCAATTGGAGTGTATGTTTTATGTGTGTTATCTCATAACTTTTTTCTAAGTGAACCGATTTTGATGATTCCTTTTTTATGAAATATGAAAGCTGGTACTTCTAATCTGGTCCCATATAAGTTTGATCAAGGTCTGACCAGTAGTTTTTGAGTTATCCTTAGTAACTTATATTAAAGTTGGTTGTAATTTTTATTTTTATTTTACCACGTGTTACCTTTTAGTTACCTTTTAAGCTAATATACCTTGAATAGCATTTTTTAAGTTGGTTAATTCCCTTGGAAAAAAGGCTTGATCCTGGGACTCGAAAAACACCTCATCGTTACCGTCGAATTTTATACAACGCAAGTGCTTTTTCTGGTGAGTAAAACGTGAAAGTCACTCCGAGAGCTAGGGTTCCGGAAAATATGGTAGGTGCTGCATCAACTAAAACCCAGCACTTTGAATGGCAGCGCCTGCAACATCAGATAAATGGGAAAATGCATTATCGTGAACGGTGAAAAAACATTTCAGCACGCAAATTTCCTTGACGTTAATTACTCGTATTTAGTTCTTCGAATAGATTTTTGATTAATGATGCCTGACAATCACCGATTATTGTCCCTCCTTTCCTTAAATAGTTGATCATTTTTATACATTTCGCATCCCAGACGACAGAGGCTATTATTTTTTCAGCGGACGCATACACCTTGCCTGGCGGGGAAGATGGTCTTTTTCACACCTTCTTTGGTTTTTGTCTCCGATTCAAAATTGTGTACCCACGATTTGACGAAGAAACGAGCACAAAAAGGATCTGGATATTCTTCAATTATTGCTACGTATAGCTTTTAAACCAGCAATATCAAATCATAAAAAGAGAGATTTGATATAATTATGTATTACTTTTTACCAATTTTTTAGATACTTTTATTAGATACCACAATATCATCACAGCTTTTACAAACAATTAGATTCAGTATTATACCCAATAGTTTCAAGCAAAGAGAATATAATCACTACGTTTAAGAGGCGGAACTTCCATAGTAAAAGTAAATGTATGAAAGTACGCCAAGCTACTCTACCAACATCAAGATATGACAATTACTTTTTGACAAACAGTACTGACAACATTGACGAATTACAATAGCGCTGTAATTGTCCATACTCGAATAATTTTATCGATATAACTTTTATCACTACATTGTCTATCAATATTTTTACATAATAAAAGTTAGATCTCTATACTGAATAATATATGACAAACTTTTTTTTTACATGGGGATTGAGTAAAAATGCCGATGAGAAATCAATGTATTTTACACACAGCAATTTGTAATTATAACTCTACAATTATTAGATACAAAAATATGTATAAAGAAAATATAAAATAAAAAACGCACTATTATATTAATAATTAATTAAGTAAAAGAAAATGACGACTCCGTAGCGCAGTGGCTAAGGCGTTTGTCTGCGGCATTGCATGACCGAGGATTCGTTCCCGCACTGAAGAAGTGTTGCTATGCTCTAAAATATATAGTCTGCGTCTGGATGCTTGTTTTCAACGTTTTCAACGTTAGTTTTTTTAAAGAGTAAAAATATTGGGTTTTAATACTGATTGGATTAAATTGCTTTTAAGTGTAACAAATACTATGTACAAATCGCTAGGCTTCTTCACAGAGGTACCTATGTACATACTCACAGAGATTGTTTACTAATTGTCGCTTTCAAAATGAGTGCTCATTATAGCTAATGTTTGTAGATTAATCTATATTTTTTTTTATTTATAACCAGGCACAAATAACATTGAGATTAGTTATATAATCCAGATCTTACCAAAATGTGACTTTAAAGGGATATTATTTTTGCTACATGTAAATGAAAACTAATTTACATGCACATAATTGGGGAAGTTTAAATCAAGTCCACTGATGAAATAACAGTTCGTTTAAGTTTGGTTCAAATGCAATATTTGCCACAAATATGTTTTAACAAGTGAATCTTTTCAACTGGTGCATGTGCCCATTGCTTGCATCTGAAAGAATAATATAAATAAAATCACATTTTATTGAACAAATAGAATGTTAGCAGTCACAATTTACAATGTAGTTTCTGATTGCCATCCCATAGAACTTACGGATATAGGAAATAGTGTATTTGTGCACACAATCGTACATTATAAAAACCTGTCCTACGTAGATGGCTAGTCCAAAAATTTATTCGCGTTAAATATCATATTACAATTATTAAAGTTGAAATCACCACATAACTTTCTTTTTAAAAGAAATATTAGTCTTTTCGAATAGTCTTTTCATGTTAAATTTTTTCTGTTTTATGCACCATTTAATTAGAATGTTTTATAATGCATAATTAATTTTTTAACAATTCTGTAAATGAGCAACGCCTCCTATAGCAAAATTAAAAGCAATTTTAATAAATAAAATATATACAAATGTAATTGTTTGATTTGACATTTGAACCTATTTGATTTGACAATGTCGTTAATAGACATATTACAAAAAGCAGAAAGAAGAGATAACCGTTATTAAAATTTGACCCCTGTAGTACATATAATTTT